CGCTCACAATGTACGTAAAGTCATACCCCAGAATCAGGTTTCCCGCGCAAGGGACCAGGCAGCTGTAGCAGCAGCAGCAGCACCAGTAGCAGCAGCAGAAGCAGCAGCAACAGCAGCAGCAGGAGCAGCAACAGCAGCAGCAGCAGCAACAGCAGCAGAAACAGCATTTCCCCAAAATAAACTCCACGGACCAAACGTGCCACATTTCACTATTTCTTATTTTATCTCCTGCTAAGGTGAAAGTCTTGAAACTTATCACGTTTGGGGGTATTTATTTCGTGCATATATATATATATCCAGGTGTTTATATCTGAATAGTCGTAATTTTTGTTATATAACCCCTTGTACCAGATTGTGGCTTTACCTTTTTATTTTCTGTGAGGTTCTTTCAAGGAGCTCTGTTGCTCTGAAAGGTTTTCTCCTTTTGTCAATATCAGAGTAATAACTGCTCCATTTACAGGGTTTCATATTCCTAATTTCAACACTGACACAAATTTTCTGAGCGTACTAGGTCATCAAAGTGGAGAGGTGGTAGTTAGTGCTTTGGGTGTTATCATCAGTTGATGAGGCGGGGCCCAGGGGTTAATACTCGACCCCTGCAAGCAGAATTATTCGAGTATTTTTAGGTGAGCACAGGCACATGCAAACACAGACACACAGATACACATACAGATGCATACAGATGCACTCAGATGCACACACAAATGCACACAGATATACACAGATGCCCTCAGGTGCACCCAGACACGAGCACACACACACACACACACACACACACACACACACACACACACACACACACACACACACACACACACACACACACACACACACACACACAATACCACCCCACCGCTCGAAAATTAACTTTTCGGTCCGGCTAACTTCCTGTTAAATGATTTTTGACTTCCCCCGTCCTCTTAGCTTACGTGGAGATCCTGTCTTAAGTCTTTCCTCCCTCCCCAGGTAATCTACCTTCCGTGTCTCGTCCTCCCCATAGAGCGTGATAACTCCCATCGTAGGGGGACAGGAATTGTGTATGTATGGTTATCAAGAATACGCCCATAGGTCAAGGTACTGATCTTCCACAGGATGTAAATTACACCAGTTGTCTACCCTCTGGGTACCTATTTTAGTGATTGGTGAACAGAAGTATCAGGTTAAACGAACCCGTGATGATCAAACCACATAAATGAAAAAGAAGAGATGACGATGTTTCGGTCCGTCGTGGACCATTAGTCGACTTGTTAATGGTCTAGGATGGACCGAAACGTCTTTTCTTCTTCTGGTGCGTGTGTGTGTGTGTGTGTGTGTGTGTGTGTAGGTCATCATAACCCATTCTGTCCTGGTAGGGAATTGAATTCTGGGGGATCTCCCTTTCGCTATGTCTTCCACTCCATAGACTGTAATGGGTGATCCATTTGCTTGGTTGGTAATCCAACTCTTTATTGTGCCTTTGTGTCCCTGTGTGCTGTCGCATAGTCGCTTCCCCCTGACAGTTTTCTGAGTAAATTTTAAAACGCCTTGCTTCGTGCAATAGCTAGCTTCGTGCAATAGATAGCTTCGTGAAATAGTTAGCTTCGTGCAATAGCTAGCTTCGTGAAATAGTTAGCTTCGTGAAATAGTTAGCTTCGTGCAATAGTTAGCTTCGTGAAATAGTTAGCTTCGTGAAATAGTTAGCTTCGTGAAATAGTTAGCTTCGTGAAATAGTTAGCTTCGTGCAATAGCTAGCTTCGTGAAATAGTTAGCTTCGTGAAATAGTTAGCTTCGTGAAATAGTTAGCTTCGTGAAATAGTTAGCTTCGTTAAATAGTTAGCTGGAGCTCAGATAAAACATTTGATTCTCAATTCGCGAGTTATTCATTATTTTGAGAAATTTTGTAACTCATGTTTATATTTTGATTTCCCAAAGAATATAGCACAGTGGTCAACGATGTCGACTTACAGACAGGGAATCCAGGGTTCGAACCCATGCACGGGTCGGATGTGATTGGGCTCTATATTTTTTTTAGCCTATTTTGATGTGGCAGGGGTTTGATGCCTCCTTCAGTGTGGTTCGTAAAACTCATTATTTCTGTTTCTCGCAATATGCTAAAAAAAACTCTTTGAGTCGTGATTGAAATGAAGATTCAAGTGAGCATCATTGATAGTTCTCTCAGCCTCCCTGAAGACTAAGGTAGTGATCACCATGGCAACATCTTCCTCCTCTCATTTTCAAGGCACTGCGGGCTCACCATAGCCCGTGATACTTGGAATTTTAATGTTCCAGGTAGCGAATTTATAACAACTACAACATCCTCTCATTTTCCTTTGCAGAAATCTCTAGTGACTTCCTTCCCCACGTTATACTGGTTCAACTAAGCAGCTTCCAGCATTCATGTTTAGTCATGCTCTGATTACTTAAATTAAAAGATCTCTTCGCAATCGGAGAGTTCTGGAAAGAGTAATATTTTGGGGGAAATGGAGTCACAGCGGTGGTTTGGAGAGACATTGAGATGAAG